AGTCACCTGATTAAAACCCCCCTACTTCAATCAGACAGGGGAGGAGTTGGAGCAGAGAACAGTTTGAAGGAGTAGAAACAGTGGATTGGTGTTGAAGCAGAGAGCAGTTTGGAGGGAAGCAGAGGAAAGTTTGGAGAAGTTCTGCGGTGGGCTAAGACAACCCTAGGTAAAAGGGCACCTGGCTTGTGCAGAGGGAGGGCAGGAAGCCCCCACAAGCTGAAGGGCAGGAGGGGGAAGTAGCCCAGGGGAAGGAACCGCTAGTTCAAGTGGTTTACTACTATCCCTAGGGCCCCTGGGCTGGGACCCGGAGTAGAGGGCAGGCCCGGGTCCCTCCCTCTCCACTCCCCTCCTCTAGGACACTAGTGGGGCAGTTAATATTCAAGTTCAGGGGCAAGAAATGGCCCCCTGAACTCCCCCACCCCCCAAGAAGAGACAGCGCGAGACCCATCATAGTAGTGCTGGCAATTTGCCACATTACCTGAAAACTCTAATATTAATAGAAATACACATGAAACCATGTTAAGGATTTTGTTATTGTTTTGATTTCAGAAATGGAGGATGCCTTCACCCCCCTGAATTTGATCAATGTATCCAGGAAGCATGAGGGTCATGGGGTGCAGGGAGTAAAAGGGGTGGCAGGGAAAAGAGGAAGAAACTGCCACTACTGCAAAAATGACTACAAGAATGGCCATTAACATGTAAACCTCCCCCTTGCCCCCACCCCAACATGGCATAATATTCTCAATAACAATGAGAGTGGTGGTGTTTTTTTTTACCAGGCTGCAATGCCAGTCTTCTGATATGTCTGTCTTGGGCTATTCTGTCACCTTGGTCTCATCCCCAAACAGGTCCAGAGACTCCAACCGAGGTCTGACTGGATAGGCACAGAAAGACGAGATGCCAGCTCCTCTTGGTCCAACCCACTATCTTCTGGGACAGTATGTTTTCTCCTTTCCCAATGACCCTGCCTGGAGCCCTTAAACTGTCCATTGTGAAAGCAGGGTCCATGACTGGAGTGCTGCTAATAATGTGATCCATCTCATTGTCGTATGAGCATGTTGTCAGAGAATTACCAGACTGGAAAATATGGTTCTTGATCTTCCAGTAGAACATTTGAATCCCTTTGCTTTTTCTCCCAGCACTGAGGTCCTTTTGCTGAATGCCGTGCTCAGACCCATGTTTCAGCTCTTGAAATTGTAGGCCATGCCAGAATCACACCAGAAATCCACCAGTACTTTTGGTAGAGATCTCTGGCCAGGTGGCAGCCTGCTGAGATGGTGTCTTTTGGGGGGCTGGCCTCAAAAAAAGTATCTCTGTATCATAGCTGTATGAGTGAAATTACTGGTAATGGAAGCCAGATATGAATATGTGGAACTAAGGTTGAGCAGAACTATATGCAGAGGTAAGTGACTTCTAGTCAGGAAACAGATACATGGCAATAAAAGAATAAGAGGTGGGACACCCTGGGGGATTTTGAGAAGTCACTGGCAGGCAAGTTGCTCTTGATTGTTGTGTAGCAGTGCTAACCAATGTCCACGCTTACAGGTAGGTCATGTTAATAGCTAATGAGAGGCTCAGTTGACTTGTGCCAGTCAACATTTGTTACTACCACCAACACACAGAAATGTTTGGGTTTTGGTGTGTGGATGGAGTCCAGTTAATAGGAACACTTAAGCTCTACGTAGCGTTAACTCATTAGTAAAGCTCTTAGAGAGATTTTCCATATGCTATAACTTCTTCCTCCACAATTGGAGTTTATGTAAAGAAATTTCACTAATGAGCATCAGTGTCTATATTTTCAGAAATTCTTTACAAATAAAAGTATGTTTTTGGTTTTTTTAATCCTTCTGGAATTAAACTTAGTCTTCCATTTGCTACTCTTACTTTAACACTGTGTGGGAAGAACTAAACCACAGTGAACAATCAGGGAACTAGAATACATGGAAAAGTGTTTCCATCCAAATCTTCTGACTCATGCTTAAAATGGCAATCTAAAGGGAGGAATTGGATAAACTGCATTGTGACACAAAAACAGAAGAAAACAGTTATATGAATGTCACACGGTTTGTAAAAGGGGATATAATACAAAAAGGGGAATGACCTACTTTAAGAAGCATGAATGCTTAAACAGCGATGAGTCCTTGTGGCACCTTTAGAGAGTAAAATTTATTTGGGCACTTGTTAGCACTGACCCCCCACTTGGTAAGGCAACTCCCATCTTTTCATGTGCTGTAATATATATACTGCTTTCTGTATTTTCCATTCCATGCATCTGATGAAGTTGGCTATATCCCACGAAAGCTTATGCCCAAATAAATTTGTTAGTCTCTAAGGTGCCACAAGGACTCCTCGTTGTTTTGGTTGATACAGACTAACATAGCTACCACTCTGAAACCATGCATGATTAGTTTCTCTTGTTAATAATTACATTTTTCTTTTTTAACTTTAACAAATTATTGAAAAATAAATCTTAAAGATTTTGTTATATCAAAGTTATGAGTCTAAGATTTCTGAAGGGGTCCGCACCTCCATTTGAAACTTTTTAAGGGTACACATGATAAAAGATTGAAAATCACTGCACTATTTTACAGAATTTTGCTTTTAATAGAAAGCAGCCAGCAGGAGCACTACTGAGCATCTGCATCAGGGAAAGGACTGTAGCTGCTCCAAGAGTTTCTGGTTCATACTAGGACTATGCCTCGTATCAGGACCTCAGTGGGTGGTGGTACAGTACTACTTACTTCTTCCATATAGGGACAGATCTGATTAAAACACTTCAATTTAAAAATCACATGGTGTGGCTTCAGTGATACATTTTCAATCCATAATCAAATACTAATTTTCTTCTCAAGTCCCCATTGAGGGTCACACCACTGTACACTAATTACAGCTCTAACAACTTTCCTTAGCTCCTATGAGTATGAAGCAATTCTGAATTGAATTTATTTTTTTCAGATCTAAAAAGATGCGCTTTAGCGAAGTTATGGGCTTGATGCAAATTCTCTGGCCAGTGTTTTTTTATATAGGAGGTCAGACTAAATGAACATAATGGTCCTTTCTGGCCTTAAAACCTGTAAAATTATGAACTTGCATTAGAATCAAGGAAGGTAGCTCAGCCTTTTTCTCTATCTACCTAGAGAGATGTGGTTAGAAACCACTTCAAAAATAGCTCCTATCTACAGTGATTTGATTGTAATTATTGATTTATAAAGTGTCAGCAAAGTGCTTGGCACTGTACAAGATGGTTTGTGCCTGCAGAGCTTACATTCTCAGGCTCATATCCTTCAACTTGTTCCATGTGGCTGGAACTCTGCACCTGCATGGAACAAGTTACAAGATTAGGACCTAGAAGACAGACAAAAGAGACGTAATGCATTAGGCAAGCCAGAGGTCTGACAACAACTTAGTTACAAAACTGTTCTCCAGAATTAAAATCTTTTAGTTTAATCATTCACATGAAAAAAAAACCAGACATATTTCTAAGTCACTCAAAGTTTAGGAGACAAGAGGAAAATCAGACATAGAAATGAGGTGTACTGTCAAAGGCTCTGCCTGTACTAGTGGAATAACACACTAAAAACTGGTTCAAAAACATTTTAACGTGGCATCACTGGAGGGGAAAGATGGTTCAGCAGTCGGGACCTTACCCTTAGAACTTGGGAAACACAAGTTGAATTCCCAGTTCAGCCAGAAGGCCCCCATGGAACCTTGGACAATTCACCTTGAATGGTATCTTGAAATGTGTTAACTACGTGTGCTAAAAAATCTGTTTCACTTAGTATTTAGCAATGACACTCAGAGAGCTTGTCTACACTACAAAATTAGGTCGACTAAAGTTAGGCCACCGCAGTCATTGAATCAGCTGTTGGTGTCCACACTAACCTCTTTCTGCTGGTATTGCGCATCCTCACCAGCAGCGCTTGCACTGACTGAAGTGGGGCATTGTGGGGCACCGACAGCTGTGCTGGGCCGACTGCTGCAGCCTCCCCACAGTGGGGGCTGACAGCCTGAGCCCAGCACAGGGCTCAATTTCACAGCAGGGAAATTTACATTCTTGTCAGTTTCATGGCTGCTATTATTTCTCATTTCCTCTCTGGCTGTCAGCCCTGGGGCTGGGAGGGCTACGGTTGTGAGCTCTGGGTAGGGCTGACAACCAACAGGTGATGTAAGTAACTCAGTGTCTACACAGACACTGCATTGCCCTAACTACAGCAACCTAAGTGCTATGCCTCTCGTGCAGGTGGAGTTATTAAGCTGATGTAGTGAGTGACTTACATCAGCATGAGCACCATTGTAGTGTAGACACTTACAAAGTTGGTTGATATAAGCGGTCTTACATCGACCTAGCACTGTAGTGTAGACCAGGCCCGAATTAGTTTCCGAGACTTGAAGAAGAGCTCTGTGTAGCTCAGAAGCTTGTCTCTCTCACCAATAGAAGTTTTACCTCACCTACCTTGTCTCTCTTAATGATCTTGGACAAGTCATTTAGCCCTCTAAAAAACTGGCAATAGGATATTTCGCTACCTGCCAGGAGGAGCGGTGCTAGGAGGCTAACTCCATTAAGGATTGTGAAGTGCATTCAGTGTTACTGATGAAAAGTGCTCTACAAAATCTAGATCCAATTATTATTTGAGCCAAGCCGCGGCCCCAGCATTGTGCCCCGTGACTGCAGGGAGGCTGACTCTTGCTCTGTGTGTAAGTGGGGAGGGGCAATGGTGGGGGCAGGGTTCCTCTAAGCAGCCAAGGGGTCGCTGGGGAATGGTCCCCGGGCACCCATCATTAGCCAGGTATCTGGTGCCACAGGGGGCATGGCTGGAAGGCTCCTGGCATGAAGGGAGAGGGGAGCAGGGGCCCAGACCGCGAGGCGAGGCTGACGGTGCGCGTGGCGACTGGGGGGACCTCGCGCTCCCAGAGTGAGCGTTACTGCGCCTCCCGCTGCCTGGGGTCGCGCGTGGGAGGAAGCGGTGCGTGCCGTAGGGTCACGTGGTGTGTGTGAACGTGGGGGGAGGGGTGGCTCCGCGGCACGAAGCCGGGGCAGGCGGCGCGGTGGGAAGAGGCAGCAGCATGGCGGCGTCGCTGGGCGGGCTAGGCCTCCTGCAGGGCAGAGTCAGGTTGGCTGCTGCAGCCGCTGCCTCCTCGCCTCTCCGCCGGCCGGGCCCGCGGGGGCTGGTGCGGGGAGGGGCCGCTTGTTCTCCAACCGGGAAGGGCTACAGCTCGGAGGCGAAGGGGGAGGAGGAGCTGCGGGTCCGGTACCTGGATGAGGAGAACCAAGGTAACGGCAGCCCGGGCCCGGGGGGAGGCTGCTCCGCCGAGCGCTGCGGGCCGGGGGTGCAGCTGCCCATCACTGCGCGCTGGACTCTGCAGACAGAGAGCCCCGGGACTGGTGTCACCCCCCGCCCCATTCGCTTGGTGCAGCGGTGCGATCCGCCGGAGGCCCGTGGTGTCCCCCTCCCGGCGCAGCGCTGCGAGCTCGGGGCAGCTGATGAATGGGGCTGGCCCTTTAAATGCATGGAGGTTGGGGGGGGGGAGGGGGGGAGAGAAGATTGGCTGCTCCGCCTCCACACGCTGCCCATGCGCAGTGCGTCCCTAGGGGCGTGTGGCTGGGCGATGGAGTAGGAGTAGCATCCCTTTAGGCTGCCCGCCCCCTCTGAATTAGCCTGTCTGTACTCCCACCCGTTGCTACTCCGAATCAGGAGCCCCCTATATGCCATGCCATGGTATGGTGCCTCCTGCCCCCGCACCTACAGTGGTAGTGGTCGTGGGGGGCACTTTATCATCCCCACCCGCTTCCTGGAGCGTCTGAGAAGTCTCAGGAGCTCTCGCACCCGGGGAGCAGCAGGGTTGAAAGTAGGGGTGTGTCTACATTGAGTGGTGGTCCTAGCCTGCTATTCCCTTTTTCTGCCCCAGATGAAGCCGTTTGCTGGAATAGGGTTGGCAAAGATCGCTAGAGCAGCAGGACTAGGAGTTAGTTATATTGAGATTGGTGGTGCAATTTACACCTCTCACCAGTTGTTTCAAGCTTTCTGCAGGCTCAGGCAAACATCACTACATTAGTTATGCATGGGTTGTTTTTTCATGCTTTTCTTAACTGTGAACATTAGGTATATGTTTTCCTTAAATGAAAGCTAAGATTCTGACCTCATCACCAGACTTCAGGAGTTGGGGCTCTAGGTATGGACCTATTGTGCCAATGGCTTAATCTGGCCACTGATGCGCCTGCTCTCATCTTCTTCCAATACCATGATGATCCTGCTGCTACAGTCTCTGTTTTGTAATCAGCTATAAAAGGGTTGAAATTTTTCAAATTTAAAAATTTCAGTGAAATTTTGAATTATGGGGCAGAAAGGGGTAAAGATCTGGGCTAAGTGTTGGTGAAATGTTTCCTGTTTAGCCAGCTGCAAACATTATATAATTATATCTACAAAAGGTTATGGTTTTAATATTGTGACAATGCATTGCTAGAAGTACATCCTGTGCCGTGTTGGGAAACTGAGAATCCCCTCTTTTTAATGTTATAAAACACCCATCTGTAGACTTGTGGGATTGTGAAATATTTGACCTTAAATTGTTCACTGGCACATGATTGAATAGTGCTTGAAATAGTGACTATTTGAAGCTGCTCAGTGGCTGACAGTGTTAACAGAGTCCTGTACTTTCAGCAAAGTTGGATTACTGGTTAGAATGTGAGTCAGATGATCAAGATACATGACATACTGCATTTCCCTTCAATTTATTCTTGAGTGCATGTGATTTGGTGTACTGTAGATTGCATTATACAGTGGGTTGGTGGAGACTTTCGGGGAAAGAAATGTGGGAGTAGAAAAATAAAACATGGTAAGGTTACCACCATTCAGAGATGTGGGGAAATCCCTGCAGTGGGGAGGGTGGTTATTTCCTGCTGAGGAGTGGTGGTCTTTTTATTTTTAATTTTTAAATGGTTTCCTCTTTCCCAGCATATACCCATCCCTGTTAGTCAAAACAAAATAGAATAATAGAAATGTAGGATTGGAAGGACCTCAATATGTCATCCAGTCTAGTTCCTTGCACTGAGGCAGGACTAAATATTATCTAGACCATCCCTGACAGATGTTTGGAGGTTTTTAAGAACAGGTTAGACAATGATGGAGATTCCACAACCTCCCTTAGTAATTTGCTCCAATGCTTAACTACTCTTACACTTAGGAAGCTCTTTCTAATGTCTAACCTAAATCTCCCTGGCTGCAATTTAAACCCATTACTTCTTGTCTGTCCTCAGTGGTTAAAGAGACCAATTTATTGCCCTCCCCTTTATAACAACCTTTTATGTACTTGAAAACTTATCACATCCTCCCTCAGTCTTCTCTTCTCTAGACTGAACAAACCCAATTTTTTCAATCTTTTCTCATAGGTCATGTTTTCCAGACCTTTAATCATTTCTGTTTCTTTCCTCTGGATTTTCTCCAATTTGTCTATATCTTTCCTGAAGTGTGGTGCCCAGAACTGCACATACTATTCTAAATCAGGCCTTGTAAGTGCTGAGTAGAATGTGTTTTCTTGTGTTTTGTTTACAACACTTCAGCTAATACATCCCAGAATGTTGGTTGTTTTGCAACACTATTACATCAATATATACTTCCAGCTTGACTGTGAACTATTGATAACTACTCTCTGGGTATGATTTTCCCACCAATTGTGCACCTGCCATGTAGTAGGTCATCTAGGCTATAGTTCCTTAGTTTGCTTATGAGAAGGTCATGTGAAACATCATCCAAAACCTTTCTAAAGCAGAAAGATATCACATCTAGTGCTCTCCCTCACCCCCCAGGTTTATTACCCTGTCAGAGAAAGATTTTAGGTTGTGTTGACATGATTTTTTCTTGAAAATCCATGTTGATTTACTTACCATCTTCTTTTCTTCTAGGTGCTTACAAATTGGTTAGTTGATTATTTGTTTCATTATCTTTCTGGATACTGAAGTTAAGCTGACTGGTCTAATTCCCCCTTTTATAGATGGGTACTATGTTTTCCCTTTCCAATCCTCTGGGATAACTCCCGTCCTCCATTCATTCTCAAAGATAATTACTAATGACTCAGAGATTTCTTGAGCAAGTTCCTTAATAATTCTAGGATATATTTTGTCAGGCCTAGGGTGACCAGATGAGAGGAAGAAAATATCGGGACACATGGCGGGGGGGGGTCCACCGGCGGAGAAAAATAACGGCCGGCGGAGCAAAATATCGGGACAAATTGCGTCCCGACCAAAGATCGGTTGGGACGCGGGACAAACACCTAAATATCGGGATGGGCCTAGTCAGGCCCTACCAACTTGAAGACATCTACCTTGTTCTTTCCTCTTCAGCCACTGCTGCTTTTTCTCTTGTTGTCTTTCCCTCCTCCTTGGGTAATGGGCCTACTCTGTCCCTGGTCTTCCTCTTGCTTTAAATGTGATTAGAAAATGTTTTCTTGTTAGCATTTATTTATTCGCTAGTTTAATCTCATTTTGTGCCTTTGCCTTTCTAAATTTGTCCCTATATGCTTGTTTTCTTTTTCTTTCTTTTTTTAAAATAAATATTCATCCTTCATAATTTACCGTAATTTCCCCTGAAGTAAGGGTGGCAATACCGTGACACCGCCTAAAATAACCTTGCAACCCCCCTGCAACTTCCTTTTGGGTCAGGGCTGCCAATTTGAGAAATGCTGGTCTCCCCTCGTGAAATCTGGTCTTTTGTGTGCTTTTACCCTATACCATACAAATTTCACGGGAGGAGACCAGATTTCATGGTCCGTGACACGTTTTTCATGGCCGTGAATTTGGTAGGGCCCTATTCATGTCCAAGAAATACTAATCCTGAAGTCTAATGATGACAAAATCAACACTGCTATATACTTTACCAGTTCTTGACAAATCATCCAGCAGGACAAAAGATTTCTCTTATTCTCCACCAGTGCATGCAGGACGTGGAGCGTGGCAGAGAAGTTAACTCCTTCCACTCCCAAGGCTCATTCCCTATGGCGTTTATAGACAATGCTGCACTACAACATTCACCATATGTTATTTTAATGTGCAGAATTTAATTTTTTGGGCCCTGAAGCCAAGAAACCAAGTTTGTTTTGGCCATAACTAAAAAAACAGGAAACAATTTTACCTTATGGTGACCATTATTGGGATATCACGACAGTGAGTCATTCAGTTACCCCTTGCCTCCAGTGTGCTTTGCTGGGCATCAGCTCCGTAACATCGCCACTTTCATGAGTCACTCTTGGCAGGTTTTACTGTAGTTTTTTTCCCCCTTGTAGCTTGATAGTGTTGCCGTATAGTGGTATGAGGGAAACCCAGTTATTTCTGCTCCTGTTATCTCACTTCCTTGAATTTTGACAGCAGATAAAATGGTTACATTGTATCCATATTGCCAATGGCTTTAATTTTGTCATATCTCCTAAAACAGTCAACATTTGTTCTGATCGGTATTTGAGTAGGAGCTATTCAAGAGAGAAAAAAGGAGAAAGGATCATCTTGCGGGTAAACCACTGGACTGGGACTCAGGAGGACTATATTCAATTCCCGGTTTGCCACAGACATCCTATGCAACCTCAGGCAAATCATTTAACTTTTTATACTTCAGACACCAATTTAATACATTCCTTATCTCATACTGCCACTATAAAGATAAACCTGAAAAGTTATCTTCAGAGGTGATCTGATACTATGGTGATATGGCTATATTTAAAAAAAGAAAAAGGGGTGCGGTGGAGAATCCATGGAAGATTCCTCTATACACCTGACTGACATTCTATGCCTGTTATGTTAATATTTTCACACATTTCTGATTACAATTCTCACACCACTTTTTTTCCATAAATAGGAAGGTTGGAAAGTTGGGTAGAGGGCTGCTGTGCATTTGGGGGAAGGAAGTGGTAGGGTTATGACTTGTTGTGAAACTGGTGGGAGTAGTAGGAGGAATTGGCTTCTACACTTGTGTTTTTTCTCTTTAGGGATTTTCCCCTTGCAGAGAACTTGTTATATTTTGCGTTTAACAACTTTAATCCTTATGTCGGAACATTCTTAATTAAGGTGCTAACATGAATATTAATTTTCTCCCTAGTGTGTGTCTATCATGGTCAAAATGGGCAATCCAGTACAGTCAAAACTATTCCGTACTACCAATACAAACAAAAAACCTTTGTAAGGTTCTGGACCATATTTGTCAACTCTTTCCTATACCTTTGTGCTAAGCAATGAAATTTACTATAGTGCCTTGTTAGTAACACATACTAGAACTAGAGTACATTGCATACCTGAAAAAAAATCTCAAGTTTTTCTTGCTCTAGGGCTTCTCAGGCACTATGTGAAAAACCTATTGTAAATGCACAAAAGGAAGAAAGAAGGCTGATGTGAACATCTTAGAGAATTTTCTGATTCTATTGGTGTGGATGTTGTCAGCGTTAACTACGTAGTTCCTAGCAAGATGTATAAATCCAATGACAAGCACAGAAAAACACACAGGGAAAATTCAGCTGTCCACAAAAACTGTAGCTGCTTTATTGACGTGTGCGTGACATGGCAGAGTAGAAATGCTTCATTACGGTTATTTAGGGGATCTTTTCTAGTATCGTATTACTATTACTGAATTTAGAAAACAATGATCATCCTTATTTGGAGATAAAAAGTACATGTTTTATTTAAAAGGATGTCTCAAAGGTTGGAAAGGTCACGCGGGTTCCTTCATTTTTTTTATAGTGTCATCCAAATCTTTGAACCTTTCCATAACAAGAATTGCAGCATACCTTTAAACCTAAAATCAGAGCTCTAGGCCCACTCTGTTCACTACATGTACACACAGCTGTGTATGTTTAATCTGTTCTCCTTAACCTCTGAGGATAGGACAAGAAGCAATGGGCTGAAATTGCAGCAAGGGCAGTTTAGGTTGGACATTGGGAAAAATTTCCTAACTGTCAGGGTTGTTGAGCAGTAGAATAAATTGCCAGGGGAGGTTGTGGAATCTCCATCGTTGGAGATTTTTAAGAGCAGGTTAGACAAACACCTGTCAGGGATGGGATAGATAGTACTTAATCCTGCCATCAGTGTAGGAGACTGGACTAGATGACCTCTCGAGGTCCCTTTCAGTCCTATGATTCTATGACCAAGCTGAGTATTTGTCTGAAATAATTTTGAAATAAGGAATATATTGGGATACGGCTAAGGAAAAGTGCTACATGCAAAGTACCTGTACCTCGCTGGTAGTGGGGTTTTGTTTTTGTTGTTGTTGTTGTTGTAACTAACATGAACCATGCTTTTTTGTGTGGTGACTGAGTTGTCAAGACTAAGAGGGTGCTATGCTAAAATATGCATCTGCGCGCACACCCACCCACCCACCACCCCCGCTCCCAACCCCCCAACCAAAAAAAAGGTCAAAATTTTGGACCTGGCAGTGCCCTTGTGGTTTTTCTTTTTTAAATGCTTTATGAAAAAATATCTAAAGACTACATTTAAGTACCAAGACACATGCTTAATTGTTCAGGCAAATATTATGATTATTTGCTTTCGCGAATTTGGCCCAGTCAGGTTGTGTGCACAGATGTGGTAATTTCATGTGTATCGGGTCATGAGTTCTGAGTCTGTCCTTAAAGTGAATGTCATTTCTAATGGCTATTGAAACACTCTGAAAAAGGAAACAAACTAACAAGAATATATACAAAACAAGTCAGTCAAAATAATTACATGTGTCAATTTTCTTACAGTCCTAACTTGATATCTGTTTAGAGTCAAAATAACATGGTCACAAGTATGTACTTAATTTATATTTTTAATATGACACTGATTCAAACTCTTCTTTTTTCCTCTAGGAATTGTGGTACTTGGATTAAACAGATCTCGTGCCAAAAATGCACTTAATAAAAATCTTATAAAAATGGTAAGGGGGAAAAACTAATGGCTTCTAATTTGAAGGCAATGTATTGGAATTAAATATTTTGGAAAAAAAATTTTTTTTTCCCTTCCCCTTCTTTTTCTGTAGATGTCAAAAGCTGTGGATGCTCTGAAATCTGATAAGAAAGTACGAACTGTTATATTCCGAAGTGAAGTCCCTGGGATATTCTGTGCTGGTATGCAAACTTAATTTTACTGTGAAGTTGGATATCTGTAATCTAGCACTGTAGTAGAAATGGCCCAGTTTCCAAGGAAGCATTGTACCTTGTCACATTCATCTCAGTTGTAAGCAAAACCTCTTCATATGATTTTCCTTGATTTTTAACAAGAAAGAAACATCTGCTTCATTCTGTTTTCTTCTTTCTGCAATCATAAAGAACACTTCCCAATATGTAGTAGATTTTTTCAAAGTAGTGGATAAATACATTCTGTTGAACTCTTAAAAGACTTGCTTATATTCTGGAATGAGAGCCTAATATTGCTAAGTGGTTAATGGGACTGGTAGGGTATGAATGGTAAATCGAGAAGGATGCTGTCTTTACTTTCCACTTGGAGGTATAAAATCCATTAAAACAACTTGTGAAACTAGGCAAACTATATGGTAGGGATCAGCAACCTTTGGCACGTGGCCCGTCAGGGTAAGCCCATGGTGGACCGGGCTGCTTTGTTTACCTGCAGAGTCCGCAGGTTTGGCCGATCGCAGCTCCCACTGGCTGCAGTTCGCCGTCCCCAGCCAATGGGGGCTGCGGGGAGGGACGGCCAGTACACCCCTCAGCCCGTGCTGCTTCCCACGGCCCCCATTGGCCTGGGATGACGAACTGCAGCCAGTGGGAGCTGCGATTGGCCAAACCTGCAGATGCTGCAGGTAAGCAAACCAACCCAGCCTGCCACGGGCTTACCCTGATGGGCCATGTGTCAAAGGTTGCCAATCCCTGCTATATGGCATTAAAAACAGATAGCAAACTTTAATTGGCTATTCCCTTAAATGTGGATAATTTATTAAAGAATGTGATCCTGTGCCTTCACCAGTAATACATACAAATGCATTGTAATGTGTGGGATGGCTGATTTGGGTATATGAAGCCATTAGGTGGGATTGGTTACCAAATCAAGGTTTTCAAAAGCATATTTCTCTTAAGTGAAATATTTAAGTGGCTATCTTGATGGCTGTGATATGAGAAACATGAGTTCACAAATATCAGTTGTTTTACTCCCTTAAAAAGCCCCAGATATGACACTGAATTGTTGTACTGTGGCTTCAAGGACATCTGGTTCTATTCGCTGTGCCAGTACCCCTTGTTCTCAAGTTTAGAGAGCTGCATTGATCTCTGTCTTTGAATAGGCTTATTGCCTATCCTCCTTGCTGGAAAAATAGGTCAGTGATGACAGTGGAGAGAGAACAGGAGTGAGTTCGTCTCAGAATAGTGAGACCACTATGGGTAACACCGATGTGCTGTTTGGGTCAGAACCAAGGAGAGGTGAGATCCACCAAGCTATTTCTTACACTTCATTCAAATCTCAGGTTTCTTATTTTGCAATGACTACAGGAAATGAGGCAATACTTTTGTATGTATACCTAACAGCACCATCAAAATGTGCACGTCTAAAAGGTGAGAAACCCAAGTGATCTCGTTGTAACCCTAATCCTTCTGTGATAAATGAAGGGGGTGGGGAGGGTGTAGCTCCCTTTGATAGACACCCAGCCAGCCAGTTAGCTGTAAAATCCCTCTTGGTAGCTGTTCTCAGCTTGCTTTACTTGTAAAGGATTAACAAGCCCACAGATAAAAGAAAAGGAGTGGGCACCTGACCAAAAGAGCCAGTGGGAAGCTTTCCCTTTGTCTGTTGTTCTCTGGGCTGCAGGGACGGAGCAGCCATGCCGTGTAATGCTTGAACCAAGTATGAAAATTCATTTTTCATACCTAGAAGAAATTATTTGGATAGGGAATGTTTAGTTAGACACAATCAGGTTTATTTTTTATTTTGGCTTGTGGATCTCCTTTGTGCTAACCCGTGATGCTTTTGTTTGCTCGTAACCTTTAAGCTGAACCCCCCAAAAAGCTAGTTTGGGTGCTTAATTTTTGGAATTTTCTTTTAAGATCTAGGAAAAAGCCTAAGTTCCAGATGTAATGTTTTCTTTTTTGTTTTTAATAAAATTTACCTTTTTAAAGAACAGAATTGGATTTTTGGTGTCCTAAAAGGTTTGTGCATGTTGTTTGATTAGCTGGTAGCTTATTTCCTTTGTTTCTTTCTCAGGGGGGTGGAGGGTGAAAGGGCTTGAGGGTACCCCACAGGGAGGAATTCCCAAGTGCTCCTTCCTGGGTTAAAAGGTTTTTTGCATTTGGGTGGTGGCAGCGGTTACTAAGCCAAGACCAAGAGAAAAGCTGTAACCTTGTACAAGTGTAATACAAGCGTGGAATGGCAAGTATTAATTTTTTAAAATCTTTGCAGTCCCCCACTTCTGCACTCGGAGTAACAGAGTGGGGATTCAGCCATGACATGGTGGCAGAGTGGTGGGATAGTTTTGAACCAGAAGCACAGACCTCAGGATTTTAAAAGGACACATTTTTCCTCTTGGCTTCTTGAAAGCCAGGGAGGTTCTTGTCTTGTCTTGTCTTGTCTTGTCTTGTCTTGTCTTTTCTGCCTAAGTGGGAACAAGCACACCAAAGAAGCCAGGGAGTCAAACAAGCAATTTTTTTCTTTTCTTTTCTAGCTTCGTGGCAACTAAATAGTTAGGCTAAGAGTGGGGCAGCCTGTGCATGAGGTTGAGGTCAGGCATCGAAACCTTAGAAAAAACAGTCTTCCCAAAGCGGCATGCCACAGAGAAGACAGGCCCAGATCAAGCCCAGGACGGAAATGAAGGGAGGAGATGGGGGACCGGGAACTTCCCAGGAGGGAAGGGTCATCCCTCCCCCGACCAAGATCCAGGTGCCAAGCTGGAGGGATGCCTTTAACCCACACCGAGTTCTGACTGCGGAAGACAGGGATTTCTTCATACAGATGATGCGTTTGGAAGTGGAGTACAAAAGAGGCAAAGTGCTTGGAGTTGGAAGGAGAGGAGACAGGCGAAGCACTTGGAGGCGGAGTTAGAGCTGAAGCGCTTAGAGCTGGAAAGGGTTAAGCTGGGTCCAGCAGGTAATATAGGTGATATAGAGGCCGCCTTAGAAAATTTTGAAAGGGCCTGTCTTGGGTACAACACCCCTATACACCAGTATATGGTGGAGCTGAGGCCGCAGCTCAGTGGACCGTTGGCAGAGGTGGCAGCTAAAATGCCTAAAAAACACACAAAAGAGTATGAACTTTTTAAACAAAAGGCCAGAATTAGAATGGGGCTAACACCTGAGCATGCCCGCTGGCGGTTCAGAGCCCTAAGGTGGAAACCAGACATGGCATTTTCCTGACACGCCTACCACATTGTAAAAAATTGGGATGCCTGGATATCAGGAGCAAGTGTTAAATCTCTGGAAAATCTGTCTCTCCTAGTGCAAATAGAGCAGTTCTTAGAAGGTGTTCCTGAGGAAATAGAAAGGTACAACCTAGATGGGAAGCCCAAAACTGTAATTGAGGCGGGGGAGATCGGAACCAAAAGGATGGAGGTGGCGGAGAAGAAGAAAGCTAGTAGCAGTTGGAGCAGATATCAGAAGGGGCAACCCGAGACAACACCCTACCATCGGGGTCAACCCAAAGCCCCACCTCGCAAGGGGGAGCCCTCCACACAGCCAGGGAGATCCCAGATGCCCTATCATCCAACCACCCACCTCGCCCCAGCCCACAGTCAGCTGGGCGATGCTTTAAGTGTAATGAGCTGGGGCATGTGAAGGCCAAGTGCCCCAAGAGCACCAGCCGACTACAACTCATCACCCCAGAGTCCCACCAAGAGCCTTCAGGCCCAGATGTCTCGCAAATACCCCTAGAGCGAAGGGAAACTGAGTGTGGACGGGAGGAAGATTACTGCATGGAGAGACACTGGAGCACAGGTGTCAGCTATCGACCAATCCCTGGTGGACCCCAAATTCATCGACCCAGAGGCCCAAGTGACGGTGCAACCCTTTAAGGCCAACTTTTTTAATTTGCCTACAGCCAGGTTGCCTGTTCAGTACGAGGGCTGGTCAGGAATATGGACTTTTGCAGTCTATGATGATTATCCCACTCCCATGCTACTGGGAGAAGACTTAGCCTCACATGGTTGGCTAACAAAAAGGGTGGGGATGTTCACCTGCTGCCAGGCTAAACAGGCCTCCACACCTAACTCAGTTCCTGAGCCTCCTACAGGAACCCAGCCAGAGGTGGTGGAATGAGACTCCAGACCAGAGTCTATGGCAGCAGTTGGAGATCCAGTTCCTGAGACCCAGCCAGAACCAGCCCAAGGATCAGAACTGGCGGAGCAGTCCGTACCAAAGCCCGTCTTACAACCCCACCAGAGTCAAGGGAGCCAGCACCAAAGGGCGCCACAGAGCCTGCACCTGCAGCAGCAGCTAAACTGGTGCAAGAGGCTCAACCGGAGCCTGAAATACCACCTAGTGCACCAGTGGAGAGCGGTTCACAGTCAACGGAAACAACATCATCACCTGCATCGCTTCCAGTGGGACCAAACCCAAGTCCACAACCCAGCGAGAAACTGTCTCCAGTATCAAGGGTGAAAGGGCTTGAGGGTACCCCACAGGGAGGAATTCCCAAGTGCACCTTCCTGGGTTAAAAGGTGGGGTTTTTTTTGCATTTGGGTGGTGGCAGTGTTAGAAAAGTTATAACCTTGGGAGTGTAATACAAGTCTGGAGTGGCAAGTATCATCATCACTCACTTCCATCTCCTTATACTGTTACCTCCCACTAACTGCGTGAAGTGTAAAATTAGATTGTAAGCTCTTCAGGGCAGGAATCATGTTTTTCTATAAAATGTGTAGCACACTCTCAGGTGCTATAAAATATCTAAAAAGAAGCACTGCTTATATTTCTGGAGGAGGGGCTGTGTGTGTATAGATTGTGGGCATTTTACCTGCAAAACAAAAATGAAATCTATTTTTAAAAGAATGCTTAAACATGAGTCCTGAAATTTGTGTATTATATTAATAAAATCCTGTTAACCTATACCTAAATTGCTACTGTTTATTTTATGTTAGTGTATCTAATGCACCAATAGGAATGTCTCAACTCAATTTTTAAAACTACATAGAACAGTCCTA